GAACCGACGGTCATGAACGCATCACATGTGACGTCACAGATCCATGACTCGAGATGCACCATTTGTCGTGTAAAGTTTGGAAATCACGTGCAGCACATTGTGACACTCTGTGGTGACACTAGATTATTGTTAGTTTTGTCAATTGGTACACACTGGAAACATCTCTTCTCAACGTACATACTTCTCTATAGGTTTCTGTGGTTCGCGTTTGTTTTGTCGGTGAGTAGATATACACGTATACGTATACACCGGCAGTCGCGCATGCAGTAGGGAGCAGACAGAAGGCAAGGTCATCGCTTAAAGTCAGAAGAGTTTAACAAGGTATTATTTATTTGGATTGTTTCAAATTCATTCAACTCAAATATAACAAAACATTATTTCTTATTTCACCCCCCCCCCCCTCTCCATATTGCTGATGTGTACGTTAATGTATGAATCACTGGGTTGTCTGGTCCAGACTGGATTATTTACAGACCGCCGTCAGATGGCTGGAATATTGTGCGGCTAAACAGCAAACATAGAAACCAAAAAACCCGTTAATGTATGTGAATCGGAATTGGCAAGATCCAAAGATGTATGCTGAACTAGAAATAAAAGAGCCCAAGCAATCAGTCCAGTCAAGAGTGTCCACTTGCCTTGTGAAACTGGACTTTGATGTCAGCGCGTGGACGCGTTAACCCCGGGTAAATGATCTCTGTTTCATATTTAAGACTTATGGCACAGTGTGACAAGACTGTATGATAAGAGGGATGACTTCAACTTTCCAAAAGTCAACTTGCCCTTTATGTAAACAATATTTCAGCAGCTCCAGCCTTTGGAATCCACATTTCACAACGTAAGAGGTACGAGGGGTGTTCATTAAAGATCTCCCCTGACCCACTTCCGATGGACCTAGTGGAATCCATCGTGCAGACACCTTATGCATGTTCAAATTGTCATGGATGATTTTTTCCACAGACCCTACACTGATCTTGACATCGTGTGCAAACTGGTGATCAGTTATACGTCGGTCTGCCAAAATGGTGGTCTCCACTTGATGGATAGTGTCCTCATCAATGGCTGAATGGGGGCGACCAGGAATGGCAGCTGTTTCAACAGATGTCCGACCACACTTGAACTGGCGATGCCAGTGTTTAACAACGTCATATGATGGGGCATCTTCCCCATAAGTTGCTTTCATTTCATCGAAAGTTTCTTTTGGTGTGCGACCTTTCAAATATAAAAACCTAATCACTGCTCGGTATTCTACTGGCTCCATTGTCACACCCTACTCGATCATAACACCTGTAAAAGTGGTAAGATTAATAGTTCGGTGCTGCAAATTCAGACATAACCCATAGATACATGTATCAATACACATGTGAAATTTCAACCAAATATGATAACCCTAAGTGGTTTAGGGGAAATCTTTAATGAACACCCTTCGTACATTCGAGCATGTATGTATGTATGTATGTATGTATGTATGTAATCTGAACTGAAGTTGTACCAAAGGTTACGGTTTTTTTTTTAAGGTGAACAACTGATTTGCCTTTGTGTGTGTTTGTGATGGAGACCAACGATGGGACAGGATACGCCCACCTTTTCGCGAAAAACTGGAATCATCACTGTTTGATAATGATTTATAAACACATACGTATGACAATCAGAATCGTGCAATGGACTGAGCTTGTTGCAGATATTTCTTAAGATTATGGAACGATTGTTGTCGCTTATACTCACGTGTCCTTGAGAGTCTACACTTAGTTCGTGATTCAGACAAACAGATAACCAATTTGTTGTGGCTCAGTACTGTATTGCACAAATGTGTTTGACTAGCTTGTTTGTTGGTCATTATAGAGATGAAGAACGTCACCAACGAAGTCTTTGGTAGGAATTTAGAAGTTGGATTCGCCTGACGGAGTGGCAAGAAGTAGCCCCGAAACGTCGAAACGTCGAAACGTCGTTAAAAAGAATAAAGAAGTTGTAATTCATAAAAGTGTCATGTATTACTGTCACCAATGAATGATAATACATTTGTAAACAACACCCCACAAAGAAAGCAACAAGAAAACACACAATAAATAAATAAAAATGCCAACGATTTGAAACTGAATGCTACCACCCTTAAAATCAATATAACACAACAAGAAAATAATAATAGAAATAAAATAACAAAAATAGATAAAAAAACAAAACAAAAACAACAACCTTCAAGACGTACATGCGACATATTTGATGTACATAAACACCGTATTTATCAGCGGCTATACGTAGATATATTTAAAATATCAAAATCCTGCTAAAAAATACATAGATTTGATGAAAAAGTGTCAGAACAAATACTGATATTTATGACGAAATCCATATTTGCATAAATAAACTACGCCAATCAAGAACAAGACAATGTTTATATGTGATGAAGAACAAGACAATGTTTATATGTGATGAAGAACAAGACAATGTTTATATGCGATGAAGAACAAGACAATGTTTATGTGTAATGAAGAACAAGACAATGTTTTTATCTGATGAAGAACAAGACAATGTTTATATGTGATGAAGAACAAGACAATGTTTATATGTGATGAAGAACAAGACAATGTTTACAGGTGATGAAGAACAAGACAATGTTTATATGTGATGAAGAACAAGACAATGTTTATATGTGATGAAGCACAAGACAATGTTTATGTGTAATGAAGCACAAGACAATGTTTACGTGTAATGAAGCACAAGACAATGTTTATGTGTAATGAGTGAGTGAGTTTGGTTTTACGCCGCTTTTAGCAATATTCCAGCAATATCACGGCGGGGGACACCGGAAATGGGCTTCACACATTGTACCCATGTCGGGATTCGAACCCGGGTCTTCGGCGTGACGAGCGAACGCTTTAACCACTAGGCTACCCGACCGCCCTTATGTGTAATGAAGCACAAGACAATGTTTATATGTGATGAAGAACAAGACAATGTTTATATGTGATGAAGAACAAGACAATGTTTATATTTGATGAAGAACAAGACAATGTTTATATGTGATGAAGAACAAGACAATGTTTATATGTGATGAAGCACAAGACAATGTTTATATGTGATGAAGCACAAGACAATGTTTATATGTGATGAAGCACAAGACAATGTTTATGTGTAATGAAGCACAAGACAATGTTTATATGTGATGAAGCACAAGACAATGTTTATGTGTAATGAAGCACAAGACAATGTTTATATGTGATGAAGAACAAGACAATGTTTATATGTGATGATGAACAAGACAATGTTTATATGTGATGAAGAACAAGACAATGTTTATGTGATGGAGAACAAGACAATGTTTATGTGTAATTTTGAACAAGACAATGTTTATGTGTAATGATATGAAAACAATGTTATATATCACATGGTAATATGATAAAAACAAAATAACAGATTTCATAGGCATCAAAACGAGTATATTCTTAACTGAATCACTTCAGCGGTTTAATGGGTGATGTTGAATACTTAAGGGATCCAGAGTACTCCTTAAGCCGTACAACGTGAACATTCCGAACATACTGAAGATGACTCTACTCTCCATCACGTCCATCCCTGTCACTGGTCATTTATATCGACGACGCAACATGACAATTTCAAGATTACATAAACATTAGTGATATAATAGTCTCTAATGAATAACACCGAGTCATTCGCCTGACGGAAATTCATGGATATAGAATGTAATCAATTAAATAGTCACGGATGGTATAATATTGAAGATTCGTAAATGCCTTCTGGGGCACACGCCGGCAGCGTCTATTGTTGCAGGTGACATCAGACAGACACACAGCTTGAGCTGGACGTTACCGGGGTCAGTGGACTCAAACTTCCTACAAGTGTCCGGTGAGTTGCATAAAGTTTTGTCCTTGAATGCAATATTTTCACGTTTTACTCTTGGATAGTACTTGGGGTCTCGGAAAACAGATGTGTGTTTGATAATTGTTTATTAAAATCGTGGCGACATACATTTTATCATCGAATTTGAATATTAAAGTGTCCAACTCTGAGATTTTCGGACATAACAAACGTTTAATATGTCCCTGAAACATTTCAAGAAAAACTATTTTTCAGTAATGGGAAGACATGTTCCCCTCCTGCCTGATTGTAGAACAAAGTGCATGCTGGGAACGAACATTAATAACCAGCTACCTATTCAGTCGTCAACGTAAATGTATATTAAAAATATTAACTGAGGGGCAAAAGAAAGTTTACCGAGTTATTTTTATGTAATTGAAAACTGAAAGAACTATTGTTTTATTTGATTGTGTCTATCTAACCAACACTCATTCTTGGAACAGTTTTTAAAAAGCAATCTGTGGCTGGGTGATTTTGTGAAAAAGTAGACTGATAAGATAAAACTGAAACATGTAGGAGAGCAATTCGTGTGGTATGACTATTTATGCACACGCACACGCATGCACGCATGCACGCACACAAATGCACAGACGATAGGCGACCTTGCATATTTCGTAACCCAAAGATACACAAGTAATTACGTTACGTGACTGACGTTACAAAATATAATTTTAAGTTAGATTTAGATCTGTATAAGATCCAAACCGTCTGATGTAAACGAATTGTTAGAAATATGAAATTGGGTTACAAGGTTTCTTATTGGGTGAATGCTGCGCTATGCAAATGTAAATGCATATTATTATTATTATTATTATTATTACTATTATTATTATTATTATTATTATTTAATCTACCAAATTACCAGTTACGATATATATATACTAAGAAAATTGATCGATTATTGAATGTACAGCGCTGTATAGGATTGGGTTGTTGTAAACATTTTATTTAACGCAAAATAAAAGTGAATAAGTTCAATTAAGTTTACAGCGCTGTACATTCAATAATCGAACAGTTTTCTTGATGTGAAGTTTATTTCCTGAAAAGCGTCTGCTATGAATTATCTCCCTTTAGGTCAATGGGCGGAACTGACCGAGCAACTGCTTCCGGTTTTGTTTCCGCAAAAACATGGCTGATGGTGGTGGATGGATAAAGTTGTCTGTGTGGTTGTTAGCAGTTCTTGTCACGATGTGCAAAGCAAGTAACCCCAAAACATCGACGGTGGCTGCAATACTGTCTACACACGCGGGTAGTAGAGATGCCAGCGGCACCCTCACAGTGACTGTTTACGAAAACACCTCAATCCGACTTATCGGCACTAACTTCACCAATTCCACAGAGATTTCATTCACAACAGAAGAAATTCGACCGGATAAACTGCTACCTGCGGAGGGGTACACGTGTGAAAACTCTAAAAAGACGAAGTCTTTTAGCGTCAGTAGATTGATATCGGATACAGTTGCAGAATTTAATATTTCGTTAGAAGGCGTAAATACAGACCGAAATGAAAAATATTATTACTTGTGTTTGAAAGAAGAGTCGCATTGGACTAAACAGGGCAACGATCCTTGGCTACGACTTGCGGTCAAAGCCAAAGAGAAAAAATATTTCCTCCTACCGTTATGGCTCCAAATAGTTAGCTTAACTATTTTATTGTGTCTCTCTGGTCTTTTCAGTGGACTGAATCTTGGCTTGATGGCTTTGGATAAAACTGAACTTAAAATTATTGAAAAGTGTGGTTCTCCAAATGAGAAAAAATATGCGCGTGTCATTGTTCCATTGAGGAAACGAGGTAATTTCTTGTTGTGTACATTGTTGTTAGGTAACGTGCTGGTAAACAATACCTTGACAATTCTTATGGATGATCTCTCCAATGGACTTATTGCTGTCATAATGTCCACAATTGCAATTGTCATTTTTGGAGAAATTATCCCACAGGCAATTTGTTCAAGACATGGGCTAGCAATTGGTGCAAGGACTAGATGGATCACACTGTTTTTCATGATAGTCACTTTCCCATTATCATTCCCAATCAGTCTTCTTCTTGATAAAGTTCTTGGTGAGGAAATTGGTCAAGTTTACAACAAAGAAAAGTTACAAGAGTTGATACGAATGACTGCTGATTCGAAAGTTATTCAGAATGAGGAAGCTAATATTATTGCAGGAGCATTGCAACTTTCTAACAAAAAGGTGGACGATGTGATGACTAAAATTGAAGATGTGTACATGTTGGATATTAACACCGTTTTGGATTTTGACACAATGTCTGAGATCATGAATCATGGTTACACAAGAATACCTGTTTTTGATGGAGAGAAAAGTCACATTGTGAACCTGCTGAACACGAAGGATTTGACTTTAATTGATCCTGATGACAAGACTCCTCTGGGAACAGTGTGTAAATTCTACGATCATCGGCCCTTATTTGTTGACAGTGACATCAAACTTGACTCCATGCTGCAAGACTTTCTCCAAGGTAGGATTTTGATAAACTGTTCCTTATTTCCTTTTGAAACAAGAATAAGTAATAGCCACAGACCAGTGATTACCATTTTCCCCTAATTTCTGAAATACAGTATACTACGGTTATAAAAAGTCTAAGAAACCACTAATTTTAGTTCGTAATAACCGTAGTTTGTGATATGCATATTAATAGCATTTAAACAGCAAATGGACGGGACTTCAAAACAGTTTATGTCCATCGTTTCGTTTATCATGTTTATCATGTTTATATGCATGTTCGTTATAAACATATTTCACTGTGTATGTCTAGTAATATAAAAGTTAACTGTAATACCAACTTTGATTTTTCTACAAGTATGATAAGTCTGAACAAAGTTCCCATTTCAATCTCGTATTCTGTGATGGGAGGGAACCAAACTAGTGGAAATAGAGCTTTCCTGTCAACTTGATGTACCAGTTATGACCAACAGCTTATGTCACTTAATCACATTCCCCTCAGCTATGTACTGCGGGTACTATCCAACATCTAGTATATAGCTATGATTCATGCCTTATGTAACATTCTACTGCGGTCTGATGCTTTTTTTGCACAGGCCTTCACAAGATTTGTCAGACTGCAAGTTAAAGATTTTTTGGAATTTTCTATTTTCTAGTTTCCAAACCATTAACTTTAGTATACCAAATATATCAAATGAAAGGGCTTTTATCAAAAATTTTCAACTGTAAACACAAAAGGATTGAGTTTTCTGCCTCGTCTGTTAAGAATAGTAACATCGGTTTAGACAGTAAACTTGACCTTTTGCTGTGTTTTAAATCATTTCTGTTATAAAAATACATTGGAAAGGAAAGGTCAGGATGCATTCATGGTTTTGGAACAAGGGGGTTATACTAGTTATCTCAAAGCAAGTATTACCTGGTGATCTTTGGTTCTTGGCAATAACTGGTTGAGGCAGTACAATTAATGTGCTATGCACATGCATGTTGTGTTATTTGTAATGTTCTTCTATTTATCATTGGTGTAAACTAATTTTTGACACCAGATTTTAGCAGGCTGGTTTATCTGCATATAGAGCCTTTGTAAACCAGTCTCCCTATCACCTGCTGATAGGGAGACTGGTTTACAAGGCCTGTATCACCTGCAGATAGGGAGACTGGTTTACAAGGCCTGTATCACCTGCAGATAGGGAGACTGGTTTACAAGGCCTGTATCACCTGCAGATAGGGAGACTGGTTTACAAGGGCTATATAACCTGCAGATAGGGAGACTGGTTTACAAGGGCTATATCACCTGCAGATAGGGAGACTGGTTTACAAGGCCTGTATTACCTGCAGATAGGGAGACTGGTTTACAAGGGCTATATCACCTGCAGATAGGGAGACTGGTTTACAAGGGCTATATCACCTGCAGATAAGGAGACTGGTTTACAAGGCCTATATCACCTGCAGATATGGAGACTGGTTTACAAGGCCTATATCACCTGCAGATAGGGAGATTGGTTTACAAGGCCTATATCACCTGCAGATATGGAGACTGGTTTACAAGGGATATATCACAGACATTTACTTGAATTCTGACATTTTCAATTATATACCCTCCAGTCACACTGTGTAGATGTTTTGTTTGTATTTGTTCCTGTTGTGTGTTTGGCACAGGTTGTATCTCACCAGTGTTCAGACTTGTTCAGAATCGTGGGGTCCTTGAGGTTTGCTATAATAGTATTTCAATGTAGAAACTTCCCCATCTCCACCTTGAAATGTATAGCTTATGATCAGAATGCCCTGACTTTCACACTTAATTTCAACCATTGATCACCATATTGTGTTGACCCGTGAAGATCCGGCTTAGAATTGTTCTTCAGCAACCCATGCTTGTTGTAAGAGGCAGCGAATGGGAAACATGTGGTCAGGGTCGCTGACTTGGTTGATACACATGATACATGTCATTATACCCGAATTGCATAGATCGATGCTCATAATGTCATTCACTGGATTGTCTGGTCCAGACTCGATTATTCACAAACCACCGTCATATAGCTGGAATAGTGCTGAGTGCAGCGTTAGACAACAAAACATTTTGTAATCAAGGTAGTAGAAACATATAGCATGCAGACATTAAAGTGTGTGTTGCTGAAATATGAGTCAAACCAAAATTCTGTTATGAGTTTATTTCCTTGTTTATAATATGTTTAGATTTAATTTTTGTGTGGAAAACAGTAGTTTAGAATGAATGAGAGTATGTTGTTTGCTGTTGTTTCGAGGCTAAATATGCAACTGCCAGTGTGCAAAGTACTGGGCAGAGTGAGAGTCAGGCGTGGTAGATGTCTCATTAAGCGGTTGTGTACTTAATGAACCCTTTCATAACATGCTGTAAGTTCATCATGACCCAGTTAACAGAAGGTTATGATAAAACTACCACACTAGCAGTGTATTCCAATACAGTTAGCAATCAGCTGTTGATTGAGCTGCTGCTAGATTGCAGATATTGGTTTAGTAATTGGCAGTGAGGTCCTTATGTGTATTATAGCACCTTGTGAGACAGCTATTAACAGTGCATATGTGTATTATAGCACCTTGTGAGACAGCTATTAACAGTGCATATGTGTATTATAGCACCTTGTGAGACAGCTATTGACAGTGCTTATGTGTATTATAGCACCTTGTAAGACAGCTATTGACAGTGCTTATGTGTATTATAGCACCTTTTGAGACAGCTATTAACAGTGCATATGTGTATTATAGCACCTTGTGAGGCAGCTATTGACAGTGCTTATGTGTATTATAGCACCTTGTGAGGCAGCTATTGACAGCGCGTATGTGTATTATAGCACCTTGTGAGGCAGCTATTAACAGCGCATATGTGTATTATAGCACCTTGTGAGGCAGCTATTGACTGTGCTTATGTGTATTATAGCACCTTGTGAGGCAGCTATTAACAGTGCATATGTGTATTATAGCACCTTTGTCAGGCAGCTATTGACAGTGCATATGTGCATTATAGCACCTTGTGAGGCAGCTATTAACAGTGCATATGTGTATTATAGCACCTTGTGAGGCAGCTATTGACTGTGCATATGTGTATTATAGCACCTTGTGAGGCAGCTATTAACAGTGCATATGTGTATTATAGCACCTTGTGAGGCAGCTATTGACAGCGCATATGTGTATTATAGCACCTTGTGAGACAGCTATTGACAGTGCTTATGTGTATTATAGCACCTTGTGAGACAGCTATTAACAGTGCATGTGTATTATAGCACCTTGTGAGACAGCTATTGACAGTGCATATGTGTATTATAGCACCTTGTTAGGCAGCTATTGACAGTGCATATGTGTATTATAGCACCTTGTGAGGCAGCTATTAACAGTGCATATGTGTATTATAGCACCTTGTGAGGCAGCTATTGACAGCGCATATGTGTATTATAGCACCTTGTGAGGCAGCTATTAACTGTCCTTATGTGTATTATAGTACCTTGTGAGGCAGCTATTAACAGTGCATATGTGTATTATAGCACCTTGTGAGGCAGCTATTGACAGTGCATATGTGCATTATAGCACCTTGTGAGGCAGCTATTGTCAGTGCATATGTGTATTATAGCACCTTGTGAGACAGCTATTAACAGTGCATATGTGTATTATAGCACCTTGTGAGGCAGCTATTGTCAGTGCATATGTGTATTATAGCACCTTGTGAGGCAGCTATTGACAGTGCATATGTGCATTATAGCACCTTGTGAGACAGCTATTAACAGTGCATATGTGTATTATAGCACCTTGTGAGACAGCTATTGACAGTGCATGTGTATTATAGCACCTTGTGAGACAGCTATTGACAGTGCATGTGTATTATAGCACCTTGTGAGACAGCTATTGACAGTGCATGTGTATTATAGCACCTTGTGAGACAGCTATTGACAGTGCATATGTGTATTATAGCACCTTGTGAGGCAGCTATTAACAGTGCATATGTGTATTATAGCACCTTGTGAGACAGCTATTAACAGTGCATATGTGTATTATAGCACCTTGTGAGGCAGCTATTGACAGTGCATATGTGTATTATAGCACCTTGTGAGACAGCTATTGTCAGTGCATATGTGCATTATAGCACCTTGTGAGGCAGCTATTGACTGTGCTTATGTGTATTATAGCACCTTGTGAGACAGCTATTAACAGTGCATATGTGTATTATAGCACCTTGTGAGACAGCTATTGTCAGTGCATATGTGCATTATAGCACCTTGTGAGGCAGCTATTGTCAGTGCATATGCAGTGTTCCTGCTGTTTTTTGAAACTCTAAAAATTACCAGTCCCCCCTAATTTTTGCCAGTCCCAACTTTCAACAAATGAAAAAACGTATGAAAAGTATTTGGCTTTAATTCTTTCAACATCATGTTCAGTGCAAAGATGTCATCTCTGAAGTAACTTAGTTAGATCCATACATCATTCACACAAACTTCAGTCACAATTTTCTCTTCTTTTTTTAAAAATATTTCGAGACAAAGTCGCTACAAATGGATATTTAATACCTAGAAAAAGAAAGCGTGAAACCCTGATGGTAACCAAGAAAAATGTACTTAGATGAATATCACAGATGTTTTGTTCAACAGCAAAGATTTATAAGGTATTTTATTTGCCGGTCCACAGGGATTGGCAGCCACATGAATTACCGGGCCAAGCCCAATTTTACTGGTGAAAAACTGGTAATTACCGGTAAACAGGAATGCTGATATGTGTATTATAGCACCTTGTAAGATAGCTATTGACAGTGCATATATGTATTTTAGCACCTTGTAGGGTATATGCAGCTAATAACAGTCTAGTCAAGTGTTTACCCATCAGTGATGCACTGAGGCTGCTGCTGATGGTGTCCGGATGCTTCGTGAGGACTTCAAGTGGCAGTGCATTATGCCCACTGGATGTGCAAAGTGTCGAACTTGTCAATTCATCAATTCCCCGAGGAGTGTCCCATTCCAAACTAAAGCTCCATGGGTTCAATACGGAGTAGAACTG